AATTGCATTTTAAGTCTTGATTTTTTAACCTATAATGCTTATTTTGTATAAGTTGTGTATGTTTTGTAACTGTAACTTTTATTTTTATATTACTTTATGTAAACCGCTGCGTCTGATGATTGAGCTGTGGTGATTATGATTAGACATCTTTATCAGAGGTGATTTTCACCTTCAGGGTAAGTTGAGATCCTGGGCCCCTGGCCCTTCCCGTTCAGTGGCAGAGGGACAGAGGTAGGACCTACAGGTTATCTGTCCTAAGGTCCTTAATAGTTCATATTAGTCTTTTTATGGACTTGTGTAAAACAATGTGATTCTTGTGACTTATGTATATTTCTCTCTATATATTTTGTGATGGTGATCATATTTATGACGTTTGTGTTATAGTGTTTTATTTTTATTCAAATGAAAAACATTTTAAAAAATGTAATATAAAAAATGGAAATTGGGATTACTGGCATCTGACCTACACATTGCCTATTTAGCACACTGTGTGTTTTTGCAATTTCACTGCGGGAACCTGAAGACGCCATAGAATCAGAAGGCAAAACACGTTATTCACAATAAATATAGTAAAGCCATTTCAGTGTGCGGTAGTTTTGATTTAACATTTGATTATCTGTTAAGTTTTGTGTGTGTGACATTAAGGGACTACGAACTTTCTTTTCTTTATACAAACTTGTGTTGTTTAAAAATGAAAAATTACCTTGATGACAATAAATGAATGAGGTGAGCTTCAATGTCATGACTACCAGAGGAGAGAAAACTACACCAGGAAGCAGGAAAGAGTGGATCAATAGTCTGCAGGTCGTAGTGACGCATCTTCAACACAAACCATCTTTGACCATCTGCGTCGTGACGTCAGGCTCAGAGCGTCAGTCTGTGTAGCTGGTACTTCCTGGTTTCAGAATAAAACGCCTTTCTGTCGGCGCTGCTCTGAAGTCTCATGTGTTTCCTGAGCTCAGGTGAGTCGAGCCGCTCGGGGCCGCCGCAGGTAACTCACCTGCTCTTCAGACAGGAACGAGGTGCGGCCTGTTTCCGCTCACAGAGTTTCTGCAGAACTTTGAACTGTGTGTCTCTCTGCAGCCTCTGTCCGTGTGTCCGAACCTCCAGCACGTGAACCCGGCTCCAGCTTCAGCAGGTCCAGACCAGCAGGTACAGTCTTTCTGAACCGAACCGAGTCCAGCAGGAGCCCGCAGTCCGGTTCCCCTGAGACTCCAGCTTGTTGTTCTGGAACCAAAAATCAGTCAGTTCATGGAAAGAAATCTGAAATCATTAGTGGATTAACCAATCAGAACGATCAGTGGGAGGTGACGTCACACCTGAACAGCTGTAGTAAATACACCTCAGAGAACATTTTACTGCAACACGAGTACTTTTACTGCGATACTTACTGTCATACTGTACATGTTGCTGCATACTTTTACTTGTCCTGGAGTATTTTCACAGAGTCGTATTAGTACTTTTACTGAACGAACATTGGAATACAGAACCTTTGACTTGTCCTAAGGTATCTTCACAGTGTAGTACTAGTACTTTTACTACAGTAGTATTTCCACCACTGCATCTGAAACAAACTTTAGTTTATAATAAATATTAAACCGTAATTTAAATGTAAGCAGGCAGGATATGTAATATATAAACTTAAACAAACATTTCGTGTTGGTGAACAGACGGAGGTGAGAGGTTAAAGAGGGAAGGTGGAGGTAGGAACACTGCAGTGGAGACAGACTGCTGAAAGCCGCTCAGTGATATTAAAAGATAAAGACTTGGTTTCAAACAGTTTTGAACACTTGAACACTCGCATGTGTCTTTGGAAATGTCCATGATATCGTCCTTTAGAGGTTAAAGAAGGTTGGAGAAAGTTGGTCCAGTTTTAGGTTTTTGCACGTCAGTCATTGGGTGTGTAGAGTCCGTAGAGATTATTCAGTACGAGCAGAGGGCAGACCGGACAGAAGCTAAATGTTAAAGCAGAAAGATGAATTCTGAAGTTTGAAGACAGAAATGTAGAAATTAAGATGTATGATGATTTAAGATGAAGTTTTCTGAAAATAAAACTTTTCCAGCCTTTTTTAAAAGTTAATTATGTTCTGATAAAAGGGGCCATTTAATTAAGACTTTTTCTGTTGGACTACTGTTGATCAGCAGGAAATTCATTCACCAGCAGGTTCAGAGATGTCATTTACTGCGAGGACGGTGGGGACATGTCCCCTCCATGTGAAAGCATCTGTTAAATGTTCTGAAACATAGTGCACAAGAAATGCTAAATAACAAATAAAAGGTTTATTTGCATAATAAAAAAAATATGTAATATAATTAAATGTAAAAGATTGAAGAAACAAATTGAAATGTCTTCAGAGTAAATAGAAAAAACAGTGTGTGAAGCAGCTCGTCTGATTCTTCAGTTGCAGATAAAAAACACCCAGTATATAATATAATAATATAATAAGCCTTTTCAGTCACTATCTAGTGTTTGAGTTTACAATGACTGTTTTTTGATGACTGAATAAACAATTAACTGCTAGCGTCTGTTCATGTCTTCCAGGATGTCCACGACGTCTCAGAAGCACCGGGACTTTGTGGGCGAGCCGATGGGAGACAAGTCTGTGACGGCTCTGTCGGGCATCGGAGAGATCCTGGGGAAGAAGCTGGAGCAGCAGGGCTTCGACAAGGTAGAGAAAACACACCAACTATAACCAAAGCCATGTGTAGCGCCCCCCGCAGGCTGCAGGGAGCAAGTGCAGTCACCTTTATTTATATAGCGCATTTAAAAACATCAGGAGTTAAACCTAATAATAAAAATCAGAAGTGGTTAAATTAGAAAAAGAAATCAGCTCATACAGCAAGGAGCAGAATATGGACCACTGCTACGCAGACGATACTCAACTCTACCTATCCTTCCTGCCCGATGACGCCAACATCTTGGCGCGGATCACGGACCGTCTATCAGACATATCTGCATGGATGACGGCTCGCCACCTTCAACTAAACCAAGCAATCTATCCACCATAACATCAAACTACAAACTCCTCAACCATCTCTCCAACCAGGGCGGTGAGAAACTTCATGATTGATGACCAGCTGTCCTTTTCAGACCATGTTGCTGCTGTCTCCAGAGACTCATGCGCAGTCGAAGTATAACCGGTCGGGAAAAATGCTTTTTAAACCTTATTTTGGGGCAAAGTTGTCAAACTCTGTTACGGCTGCCGAGAGCAGCCGTCTGTGTGTCACTGCTGCCTGTGTTTCTCCCTGCATGTGGTACACTGTGAGGCGGGGGATTGGCTGGACTTCGGCA